TAGACTCCGTTTCGTATACTGCTTGCGAATATCACATTTATTTTGCTACTAAATGAAATTTTGATAGTCAACATCTCCGCATACGCTGCACGCTTTATTCATGTCTACATTGGGCATTCAATGATGAGCATCAGTATAGGATGGATACCAACGACGTTATTGTGACGATTCTTTGTCACAACCTCTCTTTCTAGTATGTACATCTTTCGGAAGGGCTACTCTCTTTTGTTTCGTTCTGTCCATTGTCTGTTTTTGTTCTTTTCCTGCATTGTTCTTTTGCCGTTCTTATCTTTATGATGCAGTAGTAAATGTATATATTAGATGTTTTTCTTTTGTCAGAGTTAGTTTTGTAGTTTGTGATAAAGAGTAGTCGAATAAAAGAGTGATACTACGTATCTTAACGCACGCATACAATCAACTCAAGGCCTTATAATTGAAGGAAATGTAAGTCGTCACAATTATGAAGCACCAAAAATTATTGTAGCAATGTAAGATCTAATATCTTTTCATATTTCCAATACTCACCTTCGTCTGTTCACTTTGCACAAGGAAGCGTTCGTGGCTAAATAAAAAATCGAAAGTGGCTGACTGCTTTATTGTGTAGAATAAGAACTAATTTGTTTCTCGCTCTCGCTGTTTGTATAAAGAAATCCATTAGATTTTTTCGAACAATAAAAAGCTGCTGAAGTGTCAGCGAGCTCTCCTCTTCTTCGAAAACATCTAATTCATTTTATTGATAGAACAAAAAAGTGTCATTGAAGTGTCGATCAACTCTCCTCTTCTTAAAAAAAATGTAGTGGATTTCTTATACAAGCAGCGAGAGAGGGAAACAAATTGGTTCTTATTCTGCGCAATAAAGCAGTAAGTCACTTTCGATTTTTCATTTAGCGACGAACGCGTCCTTGTGCAAAGTTCAGTTCAGTTTATTCTGACTCGTCTATTTTTTGCCTCGGTCTTATTCTCTTTTGACAGCGCATAACAAGATGATGTCACATGAACCATTACCCAATGTCATCGTGTTTAAGATCCACTCTCAAAAGAAAGGAAGACAAAGAAACAGAGGAATCAGGAAAATGTGTGCGGGCACTGTTCAAGTGAATTTTCAATGTTGGTTCAAAGCATATATCTCGCTGTTGTCTGATGAAAATTCAACTGAACGCCGAAACATCAGCAGTTTTAAAGCTCTATGAAAAACAGACAGAAAACACTTGAGTACAGTATTTTATGTAATAGGTCTGCAACACGATAAAATAGTTATTTTTTGACGCCCCAAAACGCATTTTTACGCCACTAAATTACAAAGGAAAACACTTTCATGTGTTTTTCAATCCTAGTTTTCGTGCTATAATTGAAAACGGGTTTTTAAAGAGTATCAAAAACACGTTGACAATACACATGTTTTCGCGCTGATTTGGCGTTTTTTGAAAAACGCGCACTAGTTGTTTAACCCTTTGGTTACGGGTGTTTTTGTAAAGATGCAAAAATTTTGATTTTTGTTATAAAAGCCTGAAATAAGGTGTATACATCAACGGACAACAGCGGATTCCATGAGGCTTCATTGAACTCCACAAGATTCTAGAATTGCACAGTCGAGTAGAATAGCGCAGCGTCTTATGAAATCCTGCGGGTAGTTTCATAGAACGCCTTGCAATCCCGCAACGTCTGATCATCTGAGAGACTAGAGCTTTAGCGGAATCCACAGCTCTATGGGGTACTAATGGTTGTGGAATTCTATGCGATTTTACGAAATTCTATTTGGTTTTATGACACTCTAAAAGCTTCGGGTTTAGAGATTCCATATATTTTCATAGACTTCCAAATCCAAAATTTCTTGTTTCTCCTTTGATATACATGCATAGTGCACATGATGATGCTGTCATACTAGCAGCATAAGGGGAAAGAAAACACTCTTATAGCCTACGCAAGATAGATGATCATACACGTTATAATCTGTGCAACATATCACCGGATCGAAAAATTTTAAAAGCTGGTTCGGTCAAAACCGATTGCAGATTCGTCTTCTCCATTGTTGATTATGTGGTACACGATAACTTCTGGATCGGGGTACTTTAGAAAAAATTTTCGACGTCGTTTTGCCTTTGGTCCCATACGGTAACATTTGGAAAATTTTTTGAGCAAGACCGTGGGAAAAAAATTTTCTAAAGTACCCCGATCCAAAAGTTATTGCGTACCACATAATCAACCATGAAGAAGACGAATCTGCAATCAGTTTCGACCGAACAAGCTTTTGAAATTTTTCGATTCGGTGATATGCAAGCTGAAAACGTATATATACGTGTCCCGTAACCAAAAGGTTAAATACGCTTTTGGGGTAAAAAAACGATTTAAACGTGTTGAAATCCCACGTAGGCCTGCAAAAGTTCAGCGTTCCTTTTTAGCGTGCTCTCTGAACGTAACGCTAAAGCACGTTGGCGTTCCTTGAACGTGAACTCTAAAGATAACACAGAAATCTTTAGAAGTTAGTCCAATAACTCAAAGATGACAAATGATAGAAACTTGCGGTTTTCAGAAGTCAAAAGAGGACACCTGAAGTTATATTTCCACAAGCAAAACTACTTTCCGGAATTATTTGAAAGATCGATTTTTCTGAAGATCTTTGGAAAACCAACTTAGATCTCTAAAAACTGACATAGAAATCTCTTGCCTTCTTTACAGATAGGTAGTCCAAAGTGTCCTCTTCAGACTGAGAACTAAGTGAACTTTTAATTTTTGCCGGTTCAGGCGTGGTATCGGATTTCCTGAGAGTCTCAGAATCAATGTTTCTTTAGGTGTAGTAATTCCGAAAACGAATGGAAACACAGGTAATAGACCACGCTGAATCTCATGGCGGCATTTTTTTTGCAAATAAGTTCCAGAAACCTAGTGAAAATCCATATTAAGTGAAATGACCGATTTTTGCCTATTTTTGAGTAAAACTAAAAAATTCATAAACTAGCCAAGATCCATCCCAAATTATGCCAGAATATCAAGATCTACCCTGTTTTACCTGCTCAATACTATGCAACTCAATAAAGAAGAGGAATAAGAAGAGGACGGCGGACTAATATAAAGGACTATAGTCAGTACAAGAGTGACTAAGTGACGAGGAAATAAAAAGAAATAGCAAAAGGAAAGAAACAACAAATATAACTGTGCACATGGTTAGCGGTGACAGAGGAGTCCGCTAACAATACCATTATTCACAGAATCTTACATTTACCTCAGACAATACGAGCACTGTTGGTGTAAATAAAGTTCACGTTCAAGGAACGAAACATGAACTTTTACAGGCCTAATCCCGTGGTTTAAACATCGTGTGTTCCGTCTTCTTGTCTGCTTGGATATGGAGTATGCATCGTTGCTCGATATTGGGATGGTAGAGACCGAAATCTTCTCCTGTCCAGCTTGATAACCAAAGTGCCGCATACAGATTGATGGTGGTAATTGGAAGGCGATGTTGGAGTCAGAGTAATTTTGTAGAAATCAGTTCTTCCCATTGCGATCCATTGAGTAAAGAACAACGTGAGTCACTCCCGATGTCTAGTGTAAGATGAACAAGTGAAGGTGTGAGTGCAAGCAACGATTCAATGTCATTCATCTACCCGCTGTTGGACCGCAGTGACAGAGAAGTTAATTGTGTGTATAGGGTAGTTCAACTTCACTGTGTTGACCTAGTCAAAGTTTTTCATTTAGCTTTTTGTCAGTACCATTGTCAATTTAACATCCAGGACTTAATTTGACTTTTTTTTTGTATATATGACACGTTTACATCGACACTCTCGAAATCAATTTTAACCTAACTGATCGTGTAGAGCATAGTCGATTTCTACATTTTGATGACGAAAGATCCGCTATCGATTGCTATCAGAGAGAGATCACCACAAGATCAAAAGGAAAATCAGTGAAAATTCAAAAAATGATTTTTTCAAAGGGGAAACAGCGATTTTATATTTTGTGGACTTTTTCCGATCCCAGCAAACTTGGACGAATTTCCATCTTTTTATCCTATTTTCTTCATGACTGCGCTCTTCTTGATCCGATTTGTATAAATTCAGAAACGGCAGATAAAACTGAGTGCACCGTAACAGTTAGTCACGTTCTCGACTTAAGTTTTTGAACCGTTAATCGGAAGGAGAAAACAGCGGATTTTAATCCAAACAATCGAAAAAAGTCCAAAAACTCCGGGGGGAATGAGTGATTTTAGGAGCTTTGAATTTTATAAATCTTTAAGAGCTCATTTAGACTTTACCGATTTTTTAAGACTTGCAAAGATCTTTTTGGAGAGGGTTTTCTTAGTTTTGTTTAGCGCTCTGGAATAGGCACTAGTTCTGCAAGAAAAAACTCGCATAAAAGTCAATGCAACACTGCAAGTTCACTACGTACGTGGCAAGTAGATTCATTTGTACCCTTTCAATACGAAGAACATATTTCTGTGCCACGTTAATTTTTATTTGCTTAACTTTCCTTTTTTTTCGAAAAATGATTTCATTTAAAAAAAGACATACTCTCTCTCTTTCCATTTAGCAAACATATAGACATCATTTCTTATGCAAAACTGAATCAGCTAAACATAACAAGATAACGGCATAACAGAAACAGATAGAAGAAAAAAATGAAATCATTAAATTATAGAGAAAAAATATAGAGAATTTGATCGAAAAAACAAACAAAAAGCAGCTGATAAAACAGGGAGGGCGAACCTAATCATATCTTACATTCCCAAGCATTTATGATTACGAGTACACATTTCATTAACAAAAGAATACCAGACAACACACGAAAACACTTCGAAAAAGTAATAAATTGATTTTTCCTTAGAATAACAGTTTTAGAGAAAAAAATTTCAAAATTAGTATTGAGCTACAAAACAAAAGCACATTTGTGAGTGGCTTACTTAGATAGATATAAGCAAAAAATAGATCGAGCTCATCTATTCTAAGAACAAAACAATGATAAAAAAGAAAATAATGTATAAAAAATATAAGCTTGAAATGAAAAAGTTATGTATATCGTTGATGTTTTTCTTTATGATGTATTGTTGTTGGTTTTTGATGATGATGAGTATCTTGTAAATGATGTTCAATATTTGTTCGTGCTTTTGTTAAGACATCTAATGTTGGTCGAACTAAAAGAAAAGAAAATACAAGAATCACTGAATCAGATTTAAAGATGTCATATATATTTATTTTTCTGTTGAATTTCTGGTAACAACAAACAATGCAGTCTACAGAGCTTACATCATCGTTTGTATTTGGTTTATTTAAAAACAATTGCTGATACCGAATATATGAGAATTCATTTCTTCTAACATAACAACTGTCCGGGCAACTGACCATTCTTATGTAGTAAAATCAGTGATATTTATTTCGAAACAGGTGAACTTTTCATTTAATGCAGACGAGAAAGAAATGAGCGACTTCATCAAATCACAAACAAGAATAACAAATTTTTGAATTAAACTTCACATCGCTCATAAAAAAGAAAAGAAGTCTTAATTAGTTATGCTTCTATTATTATTCGTGTGTGACATCTAAGCAGAGACCAGTGTCAGTTGCTACTGAAGTGGATTTTTAGTAATAAAAATGGAATTGAAGTAAACTATTCACTACTAACTTTTTATCAGAGACTGAAGCACTGAACTCTAAGGGTTAAGTTGTCATGATCTTTCATTACCGTCAAGATTAACTGTTTTTAAATATCTATGCGGCGGTATTAGTGCAATGCGAAAAAAAAAAGAATCTAATTTAATTAAATCTACAGGACAAAGGTTATTTCGTACAAACATGTTGAAAGCAAACAAGAATATGAACTTACATACAATGTGATAGCGAGCAAGGTGGAAGAAAAATGCAAACATTCATGTGTGTATGTGTGTGTATATATATCACGGAAGGAAAAGCAAACTTTGGACTGCTGGACTCTTGTGAATTCTAGTCGACTTACATGAACTTTTAAAGTCTGCTCAAGTTCAAAGTGAACTTATATAGTTTTCTAAAGTCCATTGAACTTTACAAATCTATTGAAGTCTTCAAAGGCCGCAAAAGTCCATATAAGTCTCAAAACGTTTGCATAAGCCTACGTAATTCCATAAAAGTTTCTGTAACTTCCTGAACTTTTAAGGATTTCTATGAATTTACATAGAAATCCATAATTGGAACTTCAGTCTATTTTTTCTTTCTTGGTGTATATGCATAGTATAAGAATGCATAATCATCATATCAATAAAACTACAGATAAACTATACAAACGAACACATGCTTAGTTAAAGTATTAAAAAACATTTCAAAAGATCAGTTACCTTTTTTTTTGAGAACAAATAAAGAAAAATCTCACTTACGTATTAATGCCAAATAATCGCCTGTGTCTGCTTTTCTACGATTCTCTTTCTGAAAATTATTTAAGAGAAAAAGAGAGAATTGTTGTGAAAATACTGGAACAGTTTATTCAATGAATGAAGTAAAAATCTGATGTATATGTGTGTGTATACGTTTTTAATTTTGGTTTTTTGTTTTTAAATTTAGAAATTTAGATAAAATACATACGGTTAATTGTATTAATGCTTCTTCAACATAATTTGATTGTTCTTTACATTTTTGTCTTAAACGTTGTATTTCACGATTATTTTTTGCTATGGCTAATTTTAATTCTTTATTCTGAAATAAAATCTTTTTAAATTATTTGTTCATGAAAAAAAGAAGTTGATAAAACCTCATTTATCAATCTATGATCATGAAATGGATGTTCATTGTATTTATCTTTAACAGGTAAATAAGCTTTCCAATAATGTTCAACTAATTGATAACATTGTTCAAGTCGTTGTAAACATTGTTTTACGGTATCAAAACGATTTTCTAACCAATCTGTATCATTAGTCTACAAAAATGAATATAAAATAAATAGAATAATTAAAATTAAACGTAAATTTACTTTTATTTTTGATTTCAATTTTTCTTTTAATTTTAATTCTATTGATTTTAATTCAATTTTAATATCGGCTATCATTTGTCTTAATGCTGTATGATTCTCTAATTCACTTACCATATACATTTTACCCAATACTAAAGAAAACCAGCGTAATGCATTAAATCACTATAATATGGAACATCACATCTTACTCAATTCTTGTTCTAAAAAAGCAATAAATATAAAATGTTAATAAAAAAAAAAAATTTTTTTGCATAATTACCTTGATTAATTTCAGTTGATGATGATCCAATGGGTCTTGTACGTTTATCATCTAGTTTTGTTGGTGGAGAACCTAAATGTTGTATATCACCAAACATACTGGAGCCATCAATTATACGAAGATCAGGATGTGATACACCTAGTAAAAAAAAAAATAGAAAAAATTTATTCTTGTCTGATCTTATGACAAATATTATTTATCTCAAACCTTTTCCTGAGAAAGTAAATTCTCTTGGTGTTCGAGATTGTTTCATATTTTCATCTAACATTATTTGTAACTCGTTTTGTTTCATTATACTACGTTCAAGATCTGTTCGTAAACGTCTCATTTCATTTAATAACTCAGCCATTTCTGTTGTTCGAATGGCCATTCCATTAGTTGGTGATACACCAACTAAATATAACATAGAATATTAGTCAACTATATAATAAAAAAAAAGAATATTTATTTTATACCACTTCGAACTTTCTTCTCCAAAATGTCTATTTGTTGTTTATAATGTTCAATTAATGTTTTATTATTATTTTGTTCATTTTGTAATAATTTTGTTTCACTACGTAATCTAATACGAAACAAAAAATAAGAAAAATAAAATAACTACGGGTATCATATATAAATACAGTATATAAATGTTACCCTTGATTTTGTTCATGTGCATTTTCTAATTGATTCTTAATAGCATTTAATACATCATCATTTATTTTCATATCATTAATTCGATTGTTTAATGTTGTAATTTTTTGACGATATTGTTCATTAATTAATTTTGATTCTTCAATTTGTTGTCGTGCTGCAGTCAATTGACGACGTAATTCATTTTCTATCTCAGCTGTTTTTAATTGTTGTTCAATTTTTAAACGATATTGACGAATTTCATCATCACGAACTTGTATAATTTGTTTTGAACTAGATAAAAACAAGAAAATAATAATAATAATAATATTATTTACTAATTTATACTTGATCAACAATAAAATATACAAAAATTTCTCTATTCTCTTACCTATAGAGTTCATCACTCAACTCTTGTATCTGTTCATCTTTTCGTCCCAATTTTCGTTGAATATCTTCAGTCACTGTTGACTTTGTACTCGCCATTGTAACACTTTCTAAACCACTATCACGTTTAAATAATGATGTTTCTAAACAATAAAATTAAAAATATATTGTAAAAAATAGTTACCACTAAAAATATTATCTATAAAAAAGAGTGGATCGATGCTTATATACACAGTCATTTGTTCAGTGCGCAGTTACAGCAGCAGCAGCAGAAGAGCAATATTTTGTATTTGTTTTTTAATTGGTGATGTAATTGTTATTGTAAGTAGTACAAGAATGTGATTTTATACACAATCTGTGTAAATAGTTAGAAATAAAAACAAAAAATAGTTGTTTATAATAACACAGTGCTATATAAATACTTTGATACAATAATCTGTAAATAAATTGAAAAATAACATATAAGAATTGTAATATCGTTTAAGTCAGTTAACTTTCTATTTAGTTTTAATGTTTAAAGCTAAGCAGAAAATAGTTTAGGAAGCATTTTCAGTTGATTTTTATTTTGTATTTTTGGGTTTTATTTTTTATAGATCATACATTATACGTACGTTGATTAGACTGTTCTCTTTCATCAGTTGTAATGATATCAATACTCAAATTGACAATATGTTCTTGTGGTGAATCATTTGTAGACTGATCTATTTCAAATGAAGTACGAATACCGTCTTTCTAAAATTAAAATTTTAACAGTTTTTTTAGTCAGTTAATCATGAAAAACTATACATTATTATTATTATTATTATTATATACATCAGATAAATGAGAGGTATTTGTTAATTTTTCTTTTAAAATTTCATTTTGTTTCCGTTGTTCATCTATAATAGTATTACATTCATTCAATTGTAAACGTGTATGTTCAAAATCATTATACAATTGTTTAAATTCACGTTTTACTAATTCAAGTTCATTTTTATACATTATATTTGTTGATTGTAATTGTTTATTTATATCATTTAATTTTTCCATTTCTTTTTCTAATGGTCGTGAATGAATAATTTCAGGTGCATTTATTCTTATACGTGTTTGTAATTGTTGAATGTATTTTTGATGACTAAAGTAAAGAATGAATCTAGACAAGTTTAAAAAAAAATAACAAGAAAATTTACCTTTGTACCATATTTTTTAATTCTTTTATATGTTCATGTAATACATCAATTTGATTTGTATTACCATAATGATTCAATAAATGATCGTTACTTTCATCTATTATAAATTTTTGCGAATCTATTCGGACAGGATTATCCAAATCACTTGCACTATAACGACGTTTTCGAACAGATTGATGTAAACCTTAGATAAAAAAAAAAGAATAATAATAATTTTTTTTTCAAAATCTTTTTATTATGTCACAAATTTATAATATACCGGCATCATGTAATAGACGTTGATATCGTTGAATTTCTTTCTGATATGTTCGTGAGATATTTTCATTTCGACTCAATTGATCCTGAAAATGTTTGAGATAATTTTTTTTATTTATTTTTTTACTAGATATTTTAGACAACAATTGACTTACCTTAAGATTTTTATATTTAATTTGCCATTCATGATTTGTTTTATCTAATAATGCAATTGTGGATTTAATATTTTTTGATGGTTCATTACTACATTGAGAAGAATTATAATGTTGAATTGTGCTTATATTCTGTTCTAATGAAGATGAGAAAAATAAAACATATTATAATGATGAATTTTAAGAAATAGATTATAGCAGCTATAAAAGTGTATTTCATGCAATAAGAAAGAATAATGAGCTGAAAAGGACCATAAGCTATGTTAATTAGTGGGCGCGATTACAAAACATTTGTCTGCACACACAACACACTGTGTAATAACACAATCAGAACAGCAATAATAATAAGCATCGATCCAAAATTTAATTTATGAAAGATAAGATATGTTTATTTAACATCAACCTGATGATGATCGTGAACTTTGAGTTAATGCCGAACGTGTATCTTGAATACGTTGATGTTTTGCTTTTGTTGACTCTAATTCATCTTTATATTGTGATAATTCTATGGCTAATTCGGCACGTGTTTGTTGTGAACCATGAATAGCTTCAAGAGCATCTAATTTTCGCCATAATACTTGATTAACATATTTAGAACGAGCTAATTCTTTTCGTACAGCAAATAATTGATTATGTAATTCTGTTATACTCGGAGATTTTTCTTAATAAATAATGAATATTAAAATGATAAAAATAAAAACATTTACAAAAATATATTGCAAATATATTATGAAGCTTTTTTTTTGTTAATACATACATTATACTATTTGAATAGAAGAAAATCGAAAAGCTTACTTGAAAGTTGATTCATTAATGTTTCATTATCCATAAGACACATTTGTAATTCATATAATAATTCTTCACGGCTTAAATTTGTGTAGCGTGGAGAAAGTGGTGAACGTTCTAAATAATACAAAGAAGCAAAAAAAATTTGATAAGATTGTCTAATAGACTAATTCAGACAGAAAAGTAAATAATTAAAAAATAAATTTTATAGTTAGAAAAGTAATTAATTCAAATTTGTGTATCAATTTTAAAGATCCATTATAATATCAGTTATTTATATAAATAGAAGTCATTTACCTTGAACTTGAGCTGGTTCAGCTCGATGAATTGATGTATCGTCCTGTAAAAAACAAAAACAGATAATTTATATAAATTTAGAAAAATAAATATTAATAATTTGACTCACTTTCATTTTTGTTATATGTCGAAGTCTTGTAATTTCATTTTCATTATTATCAAGTTTTTTTTTTCAAAGTATTTATTTCCTAAATAAAATATTAAAATTTTACATTTATCTTTTAGCTGCTAAAATCCCAAAAAAAACATTATATACATCGTCTCTTCGTTGAACTTCTAATCGTAAATTACTCGAAATATCACGGGTAACTTCAGCTAAATAAAGATAGATAAAATATTGACAACAATATCTTAAATTTATTTTATCCTCTATTTACCAGATGGTACTTTTTTCTTTGCTTCGTGTTCTAAACTTATAATTTCTGTTCTTAAACGGTTAATATCCGTTTCTTTTGGCGCATCATTTTCATAAAATGTCTAGAAAGAAAAAAAAAACATTTCCAAAAGATAAAAAATATTAAATAAGATAAGATAAATAATTTTTAACTTACATTTAATTTATTGTCTTGTTCCTGAACCTTCTTTTTTAATTGATTTATTTGAAAATCACGTTCATCGATATCAGTCGAAAATTTCTTCTCAATAGTCTAAAATGAGAGAGAACAACAAGTTATTATAACATCAACAATATACGTTTCTTTTAACAATTTAAGAAAGTGTATAAATACTATACAGAAGATGATTTTTGACATTCAATTTTTTATAGACGACGCATACTTTTCTAATTCTCAGTATTTTTTTAATTTCAAAATCACTATTCATTTCAAACTACAAGAAATCTGACCATTTTCTCCATGATGTTAGCTAGAAAAGTAACAGAGGCCTACAATTTCCACTATTCGATAGACGAGACTGTAGCATAGAGGATTCTGGAAGCCCTGCTATTGCATCATTTAGCTGTAGTACCAGGTTTCCTAGGAGTCATAGAACTGCTTTACCATTACGTGACGTAATCGTAAAAACCTATGGAAACATAGGTTATCGACCACGTTGAATATCATGGTGATGTTCCTCAAAAAATTGAAAAATCTAGTAATAACCTATATGTAGGCATGCACCAGTTGAAAACTAGTGTTAGGGCTTTCACGAAAATTGTTATAAATCACCTATAAAGAAATACTCAGAGTCGCGAAACATCTCATTTTGTAGAGAAATGTTTAAACTACAATCTCATATAAGTATGAAACGTTTGAAGTTATCTATGTGAGCATTCTAAAATGGACTCAATTCAGAAAACACCCTGTTCGAACAGGGTGGTGCATACGTACCTATATGGGATTAAAAAAACCCTAATTCTGGCTATTCTTACTAAAAATTTCTCATTCACTCAAAATCCGTCCAACTACTTCGCAACATAAAGATAAACTCTATTTTATTTGCTCAATCTGATCTGTACTTAAACTACTAGTAAAGAAATCATTCTTTTATTAAGATCTCTTCAATCACAGTCTTCCCTTTTTGATTTTGAAAATTTTTGTTGAATTCCAAGTTGTTGCGCACATCAACTAGAGATAGATTTATCTTGGTATTCTGAAGTAATTTCAATCGATTTTGAGTGAGTTAGGAGTTTTTGAATTTTTTGTAAAAACCGATTAAAACTGAGTTCCGTGAAAACGTATAAGAAGTTAAAATATGTTGGGTGATGATGTTAAATGTTAAAAAGTTCATTTGGATACGTTTTTTTTCAAATGTAGAAAAAAATAAAATCACTGGATTGGATTAACTCGTTCGAAACGTAGTCAAAAGGTATATGTTTGGTATAATTATATCTACGTGCGTACATCTAATTCAAATTGTGTGCGATTATATTCATTTTGTAAATCATTGTTTGTTTTTCGTAGTTGTTTAAGGTCATCATTTGTTACAGCTAGAGTCTGTTGTAAATTCTAAATGAAAAAGAAAAAAAAGAAGAATTTTATTTTTTACTGTTATGGCAATCATCTAACAAGAGAAATGAATCTTATTACTAGTACTAACCAATGTGTATGTATGTGAAGGTGCTGTTACTTGATCATCCATCAAAAACCTCGTCTCTTTTACTTTAGAAATTCGAAAAAAAAAACTTCTTTTTTTTTTTAAAAATTTTGTAACACTTCCATCCTATCTACAATTATTTCTAGTTATAATATAATTAGTTACCTTGTACGCTCTTTTTCTTCGAAGTTTTTTTTTTTTTCTGATTTTTAAATATAGTAGTTGATAAAAATAAAAATAGAAATATTAAACCATCTTCCCATCATAGTCACAGTAGAATTTTCTTTTTCCTCCTCTCCTCTCCTTTTTTTTTTTCTTTTTGAAATCAGAAACATGAACAGAATGGTACTATTCTGACTATTCTGTGTTCTTTCTCTTTCTCTTTCTCTTTCTCTTTTTCTTTTTCTTTTTCTTTTTGCAACACTAAACACTCTTACTATCAAAAAATTTACTAGAAAGAGAATATTTAGAATTACATCGTAGATGATGTTAAATATAGCGAGATGTATTAATAACTCATGGAAAAAAGAACAGACGATCATTTTCTACACGATATTATAAATTGTTTTCTCTTTTTTGTTTTTTTTCAGTGAAAATACAAATCTATTAAATCTAAATTTGTGACTTTTAATTAATTTCTTCAACAATAATAGTCAAAATGGATAACAGCGTGACAAAAAAAGAAATTATGTGCTTTTTTTTTGTTTTTACGTTGTGTTTATGTGAAATGTAAGTTTATTATTTACATTTGTGTGTATGTGTGTGTGTGTGTGTGTGTAGTCGTGCAATTATCTTACTTGAGCTATAGCAGCACGACGTTTTCGTCTCTGAAAATTTATGTTGCTGGTTTTTATTAGTGAACTTAAAAGAATGTTATTAACGATAGATGACAAAAGTCAACATTTTGATTCGTTTACACAAGAGCGATAGAAATAATGCCGGTTAGCTAAAAAATTTTATCATTTTTTCTGTTAGTCTCACTTATTAAGTCTGAGTTGTTTTAAATTAAAAGAAAACAGATTTTCTTTTTTTTTTTTCATTAGAGATATTTGAATTCAAATTTATATGTTATAATCATCATTTTTATTATTTTTCTAACATACCTGAATTGTACCTTCTCTCACTTGTAGTTTTCTTTTCAAATCGTCAATAATTGTTTGATATCGATCTTCATGATCGGTGGATGATTGTATTGGCATCTAATTTTAAGAGAGAGAGAGAGAGAAATATTTAATTTCTCTCAAAATTAAACAATTCATAAACAATTCACCTACCATATTTCGTTGTTTCTACAATAAGAAGAGAACGAAATAAAATGTACGTAAAAATACTAGTATCGAAAATTGAAATAACATTACTTGTTGTGTCATTTCTAATTGATTTTTTAATTGTTCAATAATAAAATCTGTTTCGTCTGGTTTGGTTGCCTAAAACCAAAAGATGACGAAGAAAAATAAAATGAAGCAAATTTAGTTATGTAAAAAATTGAAAAAAAAAATAATAAAATAGTTATTACATCATTTTCATCACATGTAATATTAACACTAAGATTTATTTGTTCAGGAATATTTTGTAAATCGTATAGTTCTCGTTGAGAAGCCTAAATAGATTCAATTCGATAATTTAAAAAAAATAATAATAATCATAACGATAAGTTTAATCAGTGATCATATATATATATATATATATATTTTCTTTTTCTTCCCAAGTGTCAAAAGAGAAATCTAATATCACCCGATTCATCTAGATTACTAGATTTTTACTCGATTACAATCACTGTGTAAGTAATTGGGCGATTACTAGATTTTTTCTAGTTACAACTATCGATTTATCGCTCGATAATCGATTGATTTAACTATTACCAGATGCACCTACAGACGCATCTAGTTAAAAGTCCCTTTTTCAACTAGTAATCTTGATGGCAACTAGTCGTATATCGCCCGATTACAGACGAAATGTATATCATGTGTGATATTTGCTTGGGTTCTTCTTCGTCATTTTACTTACATCAAATCGTGCTTCTGCTAATTCTAATGATTTATTAACTGTTTCTAATTCTTCTATACGATCTGTTAATATTCGTTTTAATTCAGTAATTTGACGTTGTAAATCATTTGTTATTTCCAATTTTTCATTTAATATTTGCTTAAAATATAAGACAAGATTTTTCTAATTAATTCAAAATTTCAATGATGTAACTTATATATACCTCGATTCGTTCTTCTTTGACACTTATTTCATGTCTTAATGTTTGAATAATTGAATCACTAGTATTATTCTAAATGTTAAAGAAAATAAAAAAACAAAACGGAAAGATTAATTTATTCCTTTTGTATTTTTAATATCTAAAATATACTTTTTTAGAAATTTGTAATAATTTATTGATTTGTTGTTCGTTTTCTTCAATAGTTTTTAAATAATTTTCTATCAATTGATCTTTTGAATCAATGAAATGTTGAAGTTCGTCACACTTAATCTAAAAAAAAATTAATATTAAATAATGAAAAATAATAAATGATTTTTTTTTCATTTTATATAATATAACATACTTGTAAATTTAAACGTATTGTTAATTCTTCTTGTGATAATTGTTGTAATCGTTGTTCTAATTCAACACTTTGATTTTGATATTTTTCAATTTTATTACTATATTCAATTTGATTATCGTGAAGAGTTTTATTTACACGTTCTAATTGAAATTCAAGATCCTATTAAATAAGATCGAGAGAGAGAGAGAGAGATTAATTGAAGAAATATATATTTATGTCTATATTATTTTATACTAACAGTAATTAAACGATGTTTTTGAACAATATCTTCTTCTAATTCACTAATTTTACCCGGATAATCAAATAAAGGCTATAAATAAGATTATTATTGAAGAATATAGACAATATTTTGTTATCTAATATACCTACATGATCTTGTTGATATTTTAATTCACGAACTTCTTCTTCAAGTTTTTCAATCTAAACAATAAAAAAATAGAAATAGTGAGTTGAACAAGATAAACAAAAGCTAACAAAAAAAAAAAACATGTAGGAAAATTGTTCTTTAACAGGAAAGATAGTTGATTACACTCTCTTTATCGTTTCACAGTATCACATCTTGCTAAAAATTTTTGAAGAGAGTTTATATTATGTAAAACGTATTTCTTTCTGGTACTCTTGTCTCATCATTCTGTCTATTATGCTTCAAGTATCAATAATTTTACATTTTTTTTACTTTATCCTCAATAGTAAAATTCAATTTCATATTATCTATAGATATTGTATGATTAAATAAGCAAGTCTCTTTTAAAATAAAGTAGGATATATTGATACATACATCATTTTAAAAAAAAAAATGACAATTTTTTTTTTTTTTTTTCATTTTACCTGCAGAATTTACTCTTCAATATTTAACATGTACACTCAACAAGACAAGAGGAAAACTTGTAACAAAATTATGTTAAAAAGGAGTTTTTCTTTTTTTTGTTTATTGAACAAAAAACGAACATCATCGTGTTCAATCGTTATTTGCATATCGAAGTAATAGAAAATAACTAATACATAAATGTTTCTAGTTGTCAAATTAGTCTAATACTAAGAACAATGAAGAGAAAAGAGAAAAAAACTTAAAGTGTAAAATAATAGAAATAAAGTGACTACATGTTTGAAGAAATAATATCGAGTAAAGTAGAAATGTTTTAGTGAATATAGATTTGAACGAATGAGTGACGGAATTTACTAATCTTTTTAAAAGTACAAATGAATCAACAACATAGCCACATTCAATTGTTATATAAATGACTGCTCAATTACAGCTTAAAAAGAACAATAAGAGAGAAGAAGAAAAAAAAGTTTGCTAATATTACTGAAAATGTAGTATCATCTTACAAATAATGAACAAAAAAGAAAAAAAACATCACATTCTTATTCTACTATCGAATATAAAAAAAAAAGACTGGTGTCATTTTACTTAAAAATATTTTTAAAGTGAGGTAAGATATATATATATATAGTAGAATTTGTTAGACTTGCTACTGAATTTACTTGAAGTTTATCATAGAAATCAATTTTTGATTTTGATTAGAAACAAACTATTGTATACTAAACTTAATCTGGATTCATTTATAACATAAACGTTGACTACAATTTTTGAAAAAAATATATGTGTGTGTGTGTGTTTATGCAATAGACAATCTTTTACATACCGTATTAATTTATGAGACTGAGATATATATATATATATATGCTGAACATGCGAAGAATGTTGATTGAAAACAATATTGTTTGATAGCCAAAGGCAATCTTTGTTTAGTGTGTGTTTGATGTATATATTTCATTCTTATTGACTAACATTTGATTTTGATTTTTATAAAAATTAAATGTTTCACATCTTTTAGTTCATAGTCTGACTGACATCGGCAACAAAATAAAAACATAAAAAAAAAATGAATTTCGAATGATAAAAGTGATTGAATTATCGACGCATGTTGTTTGTTGAATAAAAAATTTGTACAAGGACAGCGAAAACAGAACATCTCATTAATTTTTTGAAGACAAATGGTAGAAAGATTACACGTGATTATACATATTTGAGCTAGAATGAATTATGTCGACTATGTTTTAAAATCTTTTATAGTAAATTTCAATAATCTTCTAATACAAATCACTCCGCTGATAAATAAATTAACATAATCGACAGAAAGTCAAGAATGGACAGTTAACAACAACAACAGCTGATCGAGAGAAAGTGAATGAATTTTGTGTAAGAAAATTCGTCTCTCTATAAAACAAACTGTGTTGGATGTTTTACTACTAAATACAAAAGCGAAAAAGTATCTTAAAAATATTAACGTTTAAAATGATCAATTTCCTGTTGATAAAAATGATTTTTTTCGGTTTTAGTCTTGTTGCATATTGAAAAATCAGTTAACCATTTTGTAGCTCTTGAAAAACTGTCTATTCTACATTTAACTAAAATTTTGCTGCAGTACAAATGATTTCAACAGAATCCTTTTTTTCTTTTACATGAAATGTTATGTCCAAAGACCAAAAATACAATAACTTTCTCTTAATATGCTGAGCAGAAAAAACAAATTATTTTCTCAGAGAATTTGAAAGAAACCACTTAAGACCCACTTCCCATACGAGAAATCCTATCTTGGGAATGAACGGTTCGATCGATCTTAGCAAACTGGGCCGTCCACCGACTAGAAGATTTCTTATCAGAACTAGAAATTGAAAATCTCGAATTTATTTTAATTTGTTGTACTCTGCTATGAAAATGACGTAACAAAGTTAGTTTTTTGATGTTTTACTTCGTCAAGTTATGGTAAACATTTTATCAGAAAAAAATGATAAAGTTTATAAAAAAAAATCTCGGTCTCTGTTACATCATTGCTGTATATCTTGGCTTTGATTTAAAAAAGAAAAAATTTATCTTTCTCTCATTTTGTTATGGAGAAATCTTTTGGATGATAAATGTTTCTAAGAGAAAAGTCATTTCAGAGGAAAGATGGTATCATCGTAATATGTATTTTCGGGTTTTTATTAAAAGCCATATAACTCTTGATCTAAACGTTGCTCTAAACTGTTTCATCTCTCATTTTGATCACAAACATAACTTACAAATTGAAATCATTGAAATTATATTATCACTCAAAACTCACCAAATCCAGAAAATTGTTAAAAATTCTTTTTCTTTTTCTTGTTAACTTTTAACATTGGGGAGAAGAATTTCAAAAGAAATCTGTATATACAAGCAGAAAGATCACACTCCATCGTAACTGAAGATTTTGTCTCATGCATGCATGCGAGCTAAAAACGGGTATACGGACTGGTTATAGAAATGTTGTCAACTCCAGTTCGAACCAGTTTGAGTTCAGAAAAGTGACTCCTATTGTCGACTGGTTCTCTTTTGGGAACCTCCAAACAAACGACTAGTCATAGACTAGTAATTAGCCTCGATTATTTATCAAACTTAGAAAAATAAATGTCAGAAATAAAAATCGAATATACTAACATACTGGGTGTAGGAGACTGATCACGTGTATTAGTTAAGGGCTGGTCAGCTTCCAAACACGAATTCACTAATCAGCATTGAACTATTATCGTTTTCGAGTAAGAATGCCGGTCAGTGTTTTGCGAATAACTCGAGAAAAAAAAGGGATAGAAACCTGCGGTTTTCACTATTCAATAGTCAACACTGCAAGGCAGCTCTTCATAAGAAAAAAGCGTTTAAAACTATTGTTCAAGGACCAATTTTCTCACGTGACTTTGGAAAACTATTTCATAACCCCGAAACTTGGCGCAGCAATATATTGCTTTTTTTCCATGGATAGATAGGCCAAAGTGACCTCATAATTTTTCGAGATTTTTCTGCGAACTCTAGACGCGATTATTCTTTGCGTGTGGTAATTCTACAAAAGTCATTGGAAGTATAGGTTATCGACCACACTGAATCTTATGGCAACGTTCGTTTTTCGAAAAAGTTTTAAAAACCTAGTCATGTAGTTCAATAGAAGTTTTAAAAATCAACAGAAAGCACTTTGATTTCTG